TCAGTCAGCTGAGATTAAATATCTTACCATCCTTTTGGCTCCACTCTGACTGGAAGTTTGGTGGTGGTCAGATGTAGCATCATGGTAAGGAATATTGAGAGCAGTGTTGGAGTGATGACATGGCCTTGCTTAACTCCTGTTTTAACTTCAAAGGGATCTGCAATAGATCCATTACTGAGAACTGCTGTTCACATACTGTCATGGAGCAGACAAAGAGTGGTGACTAATTTCAGTGTGCATCCATACTTCAGAAGGATCCTCCACAGCACTTCTTGGTTGACAGAGTTGAAGGCTTTCGTAAGGTGAAAGAAGGCCACGTAGAGATGTTTATGTTGTTCGCAGAGTTTTTCCTCCAGCTGGACAGCTGTTAAGATCATGTCAGTTGTTCCCCCTCATGCTCTCTAAATCCACAGTGAAATTATAGGAGGAGCTGTTCAGCAAGCAAAAGGACATGGTTCAGGTGGGTTCTTGCAGCGATCCTTCCTGAGGTGGACAGCTAACTTATACAAAAAAATAGGGCAACAAGAGACCAACAAGTGGAAGAAACAGGAAGCATTACCAAATCTTATCTGTTGTGGTAAACAGACCCTAGTACTTAAATGCCTTTTGCTCATATGTACCATGCAAACATACCTCCACAGATTTGTAAGGAAAAAAGTAAAGAAGAAAACACTAAAATCAGTGAGGGGAAAGGACCTGATGCAGACTAAAGAACAAGGACTTTTCTTCAAAACTTTACTTCATTTTAAAACTGCTATGAACCTAGCAAAAACAACCCATAATTCTATGCTACCACACAGAAAGCAATCATGTATCACTGTATATTTACAACTGTTAAAAGGCCCACCTGCATTCTCCTAATCTTCTTGAAGAGACCAGTACACTGAAGCCTTGTTTCTCCGCTTGAAGAATTCTACCTTAGATGCCAGGAGCAAAATTCAAACCTGGGATAAAAAAGTACCACTCCACTGACCTTACTTAAGTTTTGCTCATTTAAGATGCCCCCCACCAAGCTAAGGGGGAGGCAGTTGTGGTATTAAACAGTTTTCCTACTAGAGTAAAGAGTATCAGATCTTAACTGCTGTAGATGGAAAATGTCCACTTTTAAATGGTACACACTGTGGACTACAGCTATGAATAGGCATTAATTTATCAGAAATTTCCACTGCTAAAAATGCAGACATTAGGCCTGCTACTACCCTACTCCCTCCTGTTCCAGTCACCTTCTCAAGACTAGGGTGATTGACAAAAGTAGCATTTTTGGCACTTACAGACAGGTTGAAATTCTATTATCCCTGCACTTGTGGCCACGTCTATATGAGACACCAACTGTGCAGTTGTTACTATGCAGTCATTTAATATTTGCATACCCAAGTACTAAATAACTGTGCAGTAACTGGCCTTATTGTGCAGTAGCATCCCAGCACAGGTTCCTGGCGATGCTGATTGAGCAGTAGCTTGTTACTACTGTGCAGTAGCATCACATCAGTTTCATGCCACACAGCACTACTGCACAGTAGTAACAAGCTACTAAGCAGTAAGCGTCTCAGGTACATGTGGCCTGTGAACACATAAGCATGTCCATATGTAGCACATATGTAGAAAACTATGCACTGGCTACATACATATCTGCTCATGTATATGGGTCCACTGTGGACAGGAAAATGTACCCAAATCATGAAAATGGGTATTATAAGAGGAAAGCATCCTTCCCATATTTTAGCCCCAAGCACTGGATGTTGAGGGCATCTGTCCAGAAAGCAGGAGATCCAGATTCTAGTCCCTCTTCGCCCAGAGGGTGATTGAACTTGTGCCTAACTCACCACCACAGTACTTTAACCACCACACTACAGGTTAGGGAGATATGTGCGGCCAAAAAGAAGAAAACAAACTGCAGAGTATATTTCTCGGTGTGATGGCTCCTTCCCTAAAAGTCAGCAAGCCCCCTCACTGGATTCTAGCTAGAACCTTGACTGAAACTTCCCCACTACTCTACATCTATATATTAAAACAATGTGCAGTGGCTCAGCTTTAAGAAAAGCACTGGAAAGACTGTATGTCTGATTTGTGGCGTGGTGGTTAAAGCACTGTGGGGGTCCACCCACCACCTTTTTCCAAAAATGTACCTCAGGTATGCACATTCATAGTTGCATGTTCACAGCCAGTGCAAAGCTGACTGATCATGCTCAGTTCATGTGTACATGTTTATACATACACAATTGCAGGGTTAACAGAATTGCAACCTATGTGTAAATGCCAAAAACACAACTTCTAGAAAACTACGATTTTTAGCACACAGAAGTTAACAGATTTCCATTCACAGTCTCTAGCATGATGGACTTTTAAATATATACACAGTTGAGAATAAATGCCATTAAAATGGGACAATTAACACCTGCAGTATTTACATTTACATTCTAAATATAGGGAATATGGACAATGTCACCCTAAAAGTAAGCTTGCAGTGCACTAAGTGTATATCCATCTACTGAAAATGTCTTACACCCAGGTTACTTACATATTCCTGAAAACTATATTATTATGTTGTTAAAATGCAGTACATAATATCTTTTTTTTAAAAGGCATATTCTGAGAAAAAAGAAATGTGAAATATCTTAAATAAATTATATACACATTTGATTTAAATTAAGAATAAGATAAACAAATGCATTTAAAAATTCAGTGTTAATGTGTTACAAGGATGACATTAAAATAACTGCTATGAAAGATTTATTAAAATGAAGAATATTTTCAAAACATTTTCACATGTTTATATTATATTGTTAATAATGGGCACAAATTCAGGCAGTTTATCACCGCCATTTTAAATAGCTTTTGCATTCGAACTAGTTATAAATATGCATCCATAGACGTTGAGGTGTTCACTAAACTTTGCATATGTATTCATATAATGCTGACTTATGCAGATTGTATATATCTTACTATGGGTTTTTTTTATGCATTTACTTACCAACAGTATCACAGGGTTCATCTTTATGTACACAGAAATCCTTCCTAGAATTGGGGGAAAAAAGACAGTTTTTAAGCAAGCCAAGCTACCAAATCAGCAATGATTGTGCAACCCATTTGAAAATAACGTATGGCTAAAAACTAACTACAAAACTCCATCATTTCAACAAAGAACATGGTGAAGCAAAGGCCAAGATTAACTAGAATGCTTTAGCATTGGTTCATTCACTAAGTGGATGTGGGGTTAATCAGGTGACAAAAATGTACCTTACATTTAAATTACATGGGTCATAGGTCTTGGTGATTTCTCTATTCTGAAATTACTTGAAATTACTGTAAATAAAGTCAGCATTACGAAATTCAACTTTTTTTTTTCACTTTTTATTCTAAGAGAAAGCATCTTTAATACTTAACAACAGAAGGCAGAGCACAATTTGCTTTAAAACTGCTGGAAATAATACTTTTGCTCAAGAGAAAAGATAAACTGATTAGAATGATACATAATATGGACATATGCTGGAAAACCACCTGTGCTAATGCTAACTTCTAATGTTATTGCAGTTTTCCCATGAAAAAGCTGCCTTAGGCGGCTAAATACCTATTCTGTTGTAGATGTATCCATAAGGCCAGGGACAGAGCTTGCATTTGTCCTGGGACCAGTTGTGCCTGTGTCTGTCCTGAAACAAAAGAATTCCTGAGATAGCTGTGTATGCATCGCCCTTCCAATCAGGTTTTAGTGAGAATCTGAATGCAGAGCTGCTTTTCTACCATTAAGTGAGGAAATCTGGGGACAACCATTCAAACATACTGCGTGTGTCTACACAAGACACTATGTCACTATAGCAACAAGGTGATGCAGCTTGTTGCTACGGCAACGTAACATTGGCAGGTACTAACCATGATGCTGTTGCTACTGTGCAGTAGGTCATTGCTACTACGCAGTAGAGTAAAAATGACCCAAAAATGATCTCAGAGATTACTAATTAGCTATGTAGTAAAGCATAAGCATCTACACATACTATTAGGCTGCAGTACACTAATTACTAAATACACCGTAGGATAGTACTGCTCAACACAAGTACTATCCTAAGGCAGAGTTATTTACTCTGCTGCAACACATGTGTAGATGCTGACTGGGGCAGCTGGGGCATGAGGGTGCTTCAGTGCGGGGATGTCTGTCAGCTAACTTGACAGTGGAGCACCCTCGTGCCCCAGCCAGCCCCTTCACAGCGTGTTAAGCTAGGTCAGAGCAGCGCCAGACTGGCAGGCTGACCCCCGGGGCACAATGCCAGCCAGGGCTGCTCTGCCTCAGCTCAATGTACTGTGGCCCTGGGTGTATGTGTAAATGCTGCACCCAGGAGCAATCAATTTCAACACTAACTGTGCCAGAGTTTATTGCGTCAAATTCATTTCATATACAGAGGCACCCACTTTGTGATATTTCAGGACAAACTGTTAACACTTTTTTCCCTGGGAATTTTTCGAGGGGTTGCCCCAGGACTATGGACCTGGATGACTGAACAATTACACTTTGCCCCAGGATAAAATGGCTTCTCCAGGAACCAATGCAAAATTTGTTTTTAGCCTAGATGTATGTATATTTACTTGCAGGAATTCATGTCAACTTTTTTACCCTAATGTTTATAAGCATCTGCTAGTTTTAAAGCTGGGTAGTTTAGTTTGTTCCCTCAAACAAATGGCAAATCAAATGGGCAAAGATATCCAATATCCAAGGGTACAGCTTGGCCTTTTGCCATCAAAGATAAAAGAAGCATTTCCTTTCTTTTAGAAAGATCATAGATTTTAAAGTTAATCTGTTTTTTTTAAAGAAGAATTAGAAGGAAGATTCTTGTCAGATGAAATGTGGGTGCTGAACTTAGCAATACATATTGTACTTGAAGGAAATCCTACAGGTCTGCTTTCAGTTTGGACATACATTAATACATATACATTTCCTCACATCTTACAACAGGCAGTTATATTCCTGTGTCATTTTGACTACTGCTTGAGTCAGAAATGCCCTGTTTTAATATTCATTTTACATAGGTCTGTATTGGCATATGAGCTGACTAATATTTGATTTCTCCAAAAGACATCCCTGCATAGTCTGTATATGAAATTCCTGTTTCCTGTATCAATTTACTATTACATATTGTTTCTGTGAATAAGGCTCTTCAATTAGCAGCCCTAGAAAGTTTATTCATATAAGCTGACTATGAGCTAACAGTGTTGTATTAACTTTTTCATTGTGCTAATGATACTTACATATCCTGACATGGGAACAACTATATGACCTTGTAGACATAGTCTCCTTATCCTTACATTTTAATAAATCTCATTGCTATTCAAAACTGTAATACTAACTCCCAAGTTGGTACTGAGTGTGACAATTCATTACGTACGGTTCTTGTCCTCCACTGAAACTCCATTTCAAAAGGTTAATATGTTATGATATTGTGCTACATATTCCAGTAGCCAAAGATAATTTTCTTTTGTTTTGCTTACATTTGATCAAAAATGTCCACTTGTATGTACAATGGTATTCAGTGTTAATGTGGGAAAGGAAAGTAACAGATCCGCATTATTTTTACAAATAAAGCAAAACTAAATATAATATTCTTATTTTACACTAATGTAGAACACTCCCTCATAGGTGATTTGGATCCAACAGCAAATTTCATGGAGCACCACTGTGAAAATACAATGACTCACTACATGTCAAAAAAAGACAATGTAACCACTTCCTGGCACATGCTCATGATGCACCCAGTGCTACTTGGGACTGCCCACCTCATTAGGTTGGCTATGTTACATTTGTTCATGACTTGGGGCACACCATGGGCATGACTGAATAGAAAGGTGTTTTTATGGTATTTTCTCTTCCTAACAAGAACCAGCATAACCAGGACATGCCCCAAGAGCCTTGTTGCACAGACTTCAGACACTTAAGACAGCCAGTGCCACTAGAAAAATGGACTGGTAAATAAAGAATGATGGATTATTGTTTTCTAGTCATCTGCCAGGTAAATTATCATTAGAACGGTGTAATAATAGCAGAAAATACACAAAGAGATACAAAATAAAATGATAAACTCTCGCATTCCATTTAAATAAGTTTCAGAGTTAAAACTAAAAATGGCAAAGGAAAGACTGTAATCAGATGCAGAAGATAAAAAGTTTATTTTGTTTTGTTTTGTTTTGTTTTCTTCCCAAACTTGCACTGAGTTTTAAAAGAAGCCATGTCTTATGCTATGTCACATGAGAGTTACTGGGATGTTAAGCAACATGACAAAACTATTGGAAATATGGCACCTATGCTGAAGTAAATAAATGTGTAGAAAGTAAGTTCTCAGTTATATACCACTACCATGAATATTAACTAGTGTTATACACAGGAAAAAGGGGAAAGTGTACACTTTCATTTAACATAGACAAAAGAACACTGGCCTTTTAATGTCCAAAAGACGTTTTCATTTACTGAATAGTTTTGTTCTCAGATAAATACAGTTGGCTTTCCCCGCTTCTTGGCTGACTCAGGCTATGGATAAATTATACATTGTAGAGTTTTATTATGGGTGTTTGGGGAAATGGTACTGCTATATCTTGGCAATAGGGAAGTGCAATTAATTGCTCTTAGTTCCTGATTTACATTGAAAAAAGAATGCATTACATCTCTTAATTTCCAAGAATGAGAATACATTACATACTAGGCCCCTTCGTAAAGATTTATGTTGCCCTAGCTATACCTATAAATGACTCATTTGGCCATTTTTTTCTGCTTCCTCCAGGATAATTTCAGAAACATCATTATGATATATCTATATTCTACATATGTGTTGTCAGCACTGAAACAGACCTATGTGAACTCAAAATAAAATTTTAATTTCTGTTACATGCAAACACAAAGATCCCAAATATCTTATGGTAAGATAAGAGTGGTAACACAAAATCCACTGGGAGGCCCTGGGAACAGATTTCATAGACATTTCATAGATTTCATAGACATTAGGCCAGGAAGGGACCTCGGAAAGTCATCAAGTCCAGCCCCCCACCCGAAGGGCAGCAAGTCAGCTGGGGTCATAGGATCCCAGCAAGATAAGCATCCAATTTTCTCTCGAAGGTGTTCAATATAGGTGCTTGAACCATCTCTGATGGCAGGCTATTCCAGACCTTGGGGGCTCAGACAGTAAAGAAATTCTTCCTTATGTCCAGCCTGAAATGGTCCTGCAGCAGTTTATAACTGTTTGACCTCGTCATCCCTTGGGGCACTCTGGTGAACAAATGTTCCCCCAGATACTGGTGGTCACCCCTGATAAACTTATAGGTGGCCATCAGATCACCCCTGAGCCTGTGCTTTTCCAGGCTAAAGAGCCCCATGGCTCTCAGTCTGTCACTGTAAGGTCTGTTTTCCTGACCTCTGATCATGCACGTGGCTCTTCTCTGGACTCTCTCAAGCTTCTCCACATCCTTTTTGAATTGTGGAGCCCAAAACTGAACACAGTACTCCATCTGAGGCCTCACCAAAGCTGAGTACAAGGGGAGAATGATGTCCTGGGATCTGCTTGAGAAGCATCTATGGATGCAAGCCAGTGTTTTGGTCACTTTACTAGCCACAGCTTCACATTGAAGGCTCATGTTCATCTTGTGGTCAATGATGACCCCCCCAAGTCTCTTTCTTCTGTAGTGCTAGCCACTGTAGCACTGCAGAGCCTATAAGGATGCTGCAGATTTTTCCCTCCCAAGGTAGAGAACCTTGCATTTTTCAATGCTAAACAGCATCAGGTTCTCATCCACCCATTTGCTGAGCCTGTCCAGGTAAGCCTGGATCGTCCTCCTGTCTTCAGGTGTGGACACTTTGCCCCAAAGTTTGGTGTCATCAGCGAACTTGGCCAGTCCGCTTCTGACTCCAAAGTCCACAACATTAATGAAGATGTTGAACAATATGGGTCCAAGGACAGAGCCTTGGGGGACCCCACTGGTCACAGGGCACCATGACGATTGACTTTCATCAATTACCACCCTCTGGGTCTGACCACGGAGCCAAT